TATATATATTTTATATACTATATACATACACACACATATTATATACACACACACACACACACACAGTATATTATACACACACACACACACACATTATACACACACATACAGTATATTATACACACACACACACACATATATTATATGCACACACACATATTATATACACACACACATACAGTATATTATATATACACACACACACACACACACACACACACACACACATTATACACATACATACATACATGTTGCTTTTTTTGTTCTACATATGAGAAGTTATGGCCAAATAAGCAGGCCCATGTCAGAAATGTTAAAATTTCTCTGGGTCATTAGTGGTATAGAGGTGTGAGAGCTGATGTATTTTTGCTCATAATTACACTTTTTAAAAAATAAATAAATACATAATCAGGTTAGATGAAGCCAGGCATTTTAGATCAACCTTCAACGTACACGTTTTAAAATCCAATACAGTATATTGCTGCATTTTTTGGATGTCACTTTGCCCAAGATACTGATAGGCTGGTATCATTAAGGTAACATTTCTACAACCAGTTCTTAATTGTCATTATTGAGCCCTCATTCCATTCTGCCAAATTAATCATTGACCGCTGATTATAAATAATTAACAATCAGCATTTGCTTTGGGTTGGGGCTCAAGTCACAAAATGGTTCACAGACATTGTGCCAAACCTAAGCTGTCGCTCTCAAATGTTACAGCACGCCGAATGATCTATGTCATTAATTTCTGTTATCACTTGGGACCTCCGAACCTGAAACCCTATAATAACATATGCCTGAAGATATACTTACTTGACATACAGAAAGATGAGGAGAGGGGTTGTGAGATGGAACTGGAAATCATTTGAGAGGTACCAGGCCCACCCGGTGCACTGAAATAAATGGCAGCGAGGTACAACAATTATTAAATGATTACTGTCCATAAAGTGGTACTACGCTGTGCAAAATAAAAGTTTGGGATTGTATGGCTCTCTCATGTACAATTCATGTTGGCGTGTTGTATTGATTGGCCTCAGCTGTACATATATAAGTTCAGCGTTGCCGCTGTCACATGCCGGGTATTATTGATTGGGTTAATATCTGCTCCTATGTTTCAAAAAAATATTAATGTAATAGACACTCATGTAAACCCATGCATGAAAGTTGTTTATTGTGTGAGCAGATGATTGAGGTAAGGAATAGAGGGAAGGGAAAAGGAAAGAAGAAAAGGAAGGAGGTGAGGAAAGAGGGAGGGAGGGAGAGAGAGAGAGTTACAAGAGAGTTACGAGAGATAGAGACTGATGTTTATATATATATATATATATTGTAACAAGGACACTCCACTGTAGACCGGAGGTGCAAGTCAGATGCAGTTTATTTGCTTTCAAAACGGTAGATAACATGAAATCCAACATAAATAGCTCGCTGTAGCATATAACAGATAAGGGCTCACCGACATCTGTCTCTCTTGCAGCACTGCTGCTCCGACCTCAATCTTTAGGGCCACTGTCTGGTTCCTCCAGACAACGGCAATAACATGCCAATCCTCTCAATATGGTTCGCAAACCCGCAGCTCCCTGCTGCACTGGCCTCCACACTGACTCCGGGGTGGAGCTCTCCTGACTCACAGGTGGGGCCCTGAACACATCCCAGCACACACTTCATGAGGGATGTACACAGGTGCACAATCAGGTGCTGGTCACCACCAAAGCATGGACCCAGGAATGGAGATTTCCTCCCACCCAGAGCTCTAAGAAATCTCCTGGCTCCAGGATCCCATATATATCACATGCATACACATATACACTATATTGCCAAAAGTATTGGGACACCCTTCCAAACCATTGGATTCAGGTGTTCGTGAAATTTCTTTGCTACTAAATATTCCACGGTCAACTGTTACTGGTATTATAACAAAGTGGAAGCAACTGGGAACAACAGCAACTCAGCCACACAGCGGGGTCAGCGCATGCTGAAGCGCACAGTGCGCAGAAGTCGCCAACTTTCTGCAGAGTCAATAGCTACAGACCTCCAAACTTGGTGTGGCCTTCAGATTGGCACAACAACAGTGCGTAGAGAGCTTCATGGAATGGGTTTCCATGGCCGAGCAGCTGCATCCAAGCCTTACACCACCAAGTGCAATGCAAAGCGTCGGATGCCGTGGTGTAAAGCACGCCGCCACTGGACTCTAGAGAAGTGGAGACGTGTTCTCTGGAGTGAGCAATCACGCTTCTCTGTCTGGCAATCCGATGGACGTGTCTGGGTTTGGCGGTTGCCAGGAGAACGGTACTTGCCTGACTGCATTGTGCCAAGTGGAGAGTTTGGTGGAGGGGGGATTATGGTGTGGGGTTGTTTTTCAGGGGTTAGGGTTGGGCTTGGCCCCTTAGTTCCAGTGAAGGGAACTCTTAAGGCATCAGCAGACCAAGACATTTTGGACAATTTAATGCTCCCAACTTTGTGGGAACAGTTTGGGGAAAACTGTATTTGACTGATTTAAATTGGATGTTCACTTGAGCTTATAATTCTTAATACAATAAAATCTTTATTTTACATATAATAGCTAGTTTGTAAGCTCGTCTTAGTAGGGCTCTCCTAACCCTCATGTATTGAATTGTACTGTAATTGTACTATACGTATACTGTACTGTGCCCTTTTTTTTGTAAAGCACCACACAAATTTATATATGAAATCTTTCTTTTTACATTCAGCCATCTTGTTTTTCAGTCATCTTGTCTCTCTCTTTTGACTTTCTCTTTCTAAAGAAACCAAACTGTGAACAAGTACCAGTTTCAGCTAGAACTGTCCTCTTCTGAAGGTCGTTCTGTAGATGAGGTTTAGGTGCATGCACAGTTAGAATTATGATAATTACAAAGTAGGGATGCACCGATACCAGTTCAGATACCAGTGCAGATACTTGGGTTGCAGTGGTTGTAGCTGGGACCTGGCTCTGGCACTCCGCCACTGTCCTGAAATCATTAGTCTGTATTATTTTAGAAAAACTGTCACATGACATTAACAAAAATGGATCAGTATCTGTGAGGACTTGGATGAGTATCAGTACTTCTACTTGCAAAACTGGTATCGGTGCATCCCTCATATATATTTATAAAAACAAAATCATACAATAAAACAGAGATGAACAAATCCCAGGAACTTCGTGTGCTCCTTACAAATGACAGCTGCCTCCTAACGTTTGAATTTTTCTCTAGTCTAGTCTTGGAGCTGGAAAAGTATCTGTACTTGTACAGAGTACGGTACTTGGTATTGGTGCATCCCTATTACAAAGCATACGAAATAGCATGCTAGTTATTAAACTTTAGGTAGTCCTGAAATCAAGTGTGTGTGTGTGTGTGTGTCTGTGTGTGTGTGTGTGTGTGTGTGTGTGAGTTTGCATTCCTTGCGTGATCATGCTAAACAAAGGGCAATATCTTGTACAACTAATAACCCGTCAAAGACACTGTAATGATAACAATATTCAAAAAAATAGCAACAACAACAATAATAATATTACTGCTACTACTACTAATATTTAGGTATATGTCTTTTTAAAGAAAAGTATTTAAATAATGAGTTAATGGGCAAACTTACTGAATCTGAAACAGACACAAAATTAGTTATCAGTAAAACGTTTGCCCACCACACGCGGTTACAGTTGTCCCACTGATGCTTGGGCAGTTCCCAGAATACCCCCCACTGGACCAACGAGATAAGAGCAATGGAGAGTGGGATGGATGCAAGGTGAAGAGGCTGAATCCTGACATAGAAAAAGAAAAAAAAAACACATTAATTACAGAAATAAATACAATTATAATAAAATATATAGAGAATGTTAAATGGAAATGTGATTATATTTTCAGTAAGAGTTCAGATTTTAAGCTATTGCTGTAACATTTACCTAAAGAAATATTTGCTGAGACTTTTTACTTACTTGCTATTCTATATTTTGATTATATGATTGTCACATTCACCTTTGTTAATGCTTTCGTATGATTTCTTATGAATGTGTGAGGACACAAATATTGGAGCCGCCATTGTTGAATATTGTTTTTCGATACGATCAAACCCTTCATTTACCATATAACAGTGTGATGACAAAGCTCCCCAGGCCAATGAGGCCTTGGCATTATTGAATAGCAGAGGCTATATATGGACAGTTCACCCAGGGTCAGGGATGTTTCTCCATGCACTGGGTATTATATTTAATAAATGCAGATACATTTTGCTGCTTCTGAATGGCTTTGACTTGCATCTGTGATGTTTTGAATTTTATTTTTGCTTTGGGAGTTGCTTGGAACTGCTTTCAAATCGCTTGTGCATTTAAAATATATAGAGAAGAAAAAAAACATTTCAAACACAAACAAATATCAATGTGCTGTACATGGGCCTTTAGCCATTTATAAGATGTACAGAGCAGTCAGAAGTGCAGATATGAGCCCATAAACTTAAGGGTCTAATGATATACAATTTGCAGGGCAGTTCACCCTGTGAATATATGTGAACTTTGTGAATATATATATCAACACAAACATTCTTTATTTATTATTTTTTTATTACAACTGCGGGGAATTTATGCAATGAATAAGTATTATATTTCTATGCTATATGGTGTCATCTAGTGGCCATAATGCGGTATTACATAACAAAATAAAAATACATTGCCTTGTAAAGAAACAAAGAACATTCATTTTGGAATATATCTGCACCAAACAAATGTTCACAGATAGTCACAGGGCGAAGGTGTCTGAAGATAGTTTATAAATAGATCACATAGTAATTTTGCTGGAAGTTTAGGGGCTTTCCATTATTTTACAATAATCTGCAAATGTATTTGCTTCTTTCTTTCCAGTGACAAAAGCAATCAAAATCACTGCAGTGCCAGACAAGAGGCATTTCCAATCCATCCCCATGCTAATATCCCCAGAGAATTTTTGTACAAGTCATTCTGAATTGAGAAAGCTGGTTGATAACCAGTGAAACTTCTTCAAGAAAAATACAGCAAGTCCAGTTTCCTTGACTTAGTTTCAAAATTGCCAAAAAAAAGATGTTAAATAGACAACCAGCATTAGTTTCCTGCATCTCATAATGGCTCCATAATCATCACAGCGAGCTCAGCTCTGGGAGACAGGGCCAGCAAATGCGGAGCAGAGCAATCGACATTGTATCCCCAAAGATCTATCAGCCGTGAGTGTCTGGCTGTGCCCAGAGGCAAGGTCAGTCAGGTCAGATCTGACCCACAGACTTGCCATGAGAGAGAGCAACAGTGAAGCATAGTCACTGTACAGCACTACTATGAAGCATATGTAATGCTCTGATATGCATTCTACACCATTATTGGTGCATAAATGTGTCAACTAAAGTGGAATAAAGTATAACTCCAGTCAAACGTTTTTAGAGGGGAAGTGTAAGACCTTCTGTAACATTTTTTTATTATTGTCTGTGTCCCCACTGGAGACAATTCCCATCACTTCCTGTCCTTTTGACCACTGGACATGAGATGACGGGAAATCTCCCTAATGACTTTGGATTTTTTTGGATATGCTACCTTTCATAATAACACTTTGTGCAATAGGCTGCTCCATATTTGAAGTAAGATGTGAATTCGCTCTGCGCCATTCGGCTAATCACTCACTGCCATTCGGCCTCTACGTGAAGGGGCGAACGGTAGCGAGTGAGCTGCCGGAGCTTCGGCTCAGCCAATCCAGATGTTGGATCGGTTGAGTCGAAGTCCCTCTGCATAGCATGTTCGGCTGACTGAAGTGCAGCCAAAGGCAGCCGTTGTACGTTGTACGTTGTTCGGCTCACTTCACTACGGCTCGGTTATTCATTCAGCTGCCTCCGGCAGCTTAGTGCATAACCCTGTAAGTGTTAGGTAGGGCTTGGTGGATGACAGTGGGAGATGAGTAGCTTGGGTCCAAAAATTAACATTACAGAACAATGGTGTGGTACCACAACTAATACTGGATGCTCAAGGGTATCGCTCCTTCAAATAAGAAATTGCCATATTCTGATGTACGGCTGAAATCAGCTGTACCGAGCCGGAGTGAGTAGCCGAACGTCATTTTGCCCGGTTATTCAACTCGGCTGCCTTCGGCAGCTTAGCGAATAACCCTTTAAATGTCCTGTAGGCCAATCCTCACTTTATATAGCTTTGATTAAACTAATGGAAACTGTATAGTCAGATTGTAATGTTTATGCCGAGGTTTCAACCTGACTAACTATGTTACTAGGACTATACAGTAGATTTTGTATTGGTTTATATTTTTGCCTCAACAATACTCATTTTTGTTTAGCTTCTTTAGCTATGATTTCTCTCTCTTTTCTTTTTAGACTATATCATGTTAAATCATGTGCTTGGTTCATAAAAACCCATGATAATATTGTAAATGGGATACACACTATATTGCCAAAAGTATTGGGACGCCGGCCTTTACACACACAAGAACATTAATGGCATCCCAGTCTTAGTCCGTAGTGTTCGAAATTGAGTTGGCCCGCCCTTTGCAGCTATAACAGCTTCAACTCTTCTGGGAAGGCGTCCACAAGGTTTAAGAGTGTGTCTATGGGAATATTGGACCATTCTTCCAGAAGCGCATTTGTGAGGCCAGGTACTGATGTTGGATGAGAAGGCCGGGCTCGCAGTCTCCGCTCTAATTCATCCCAAAGGTGTTCTATCGGGTTGAGGTCAGGACTCTGTGCAGGCCAGGCAAGTTCCACCACCCCAAACTCGGTCATTGATGTCTTTATGGACCTTGCTTTGTGCACTGGTGCGCAGTAATGTTGGAATAGGAAGGGGCCACCCCTAAACTGTTCCCACAAAGTTGGGAGCATGAAATTGTCCAAAATGTCTTGGTATGCTGCTGCCTTAAGAGTTCCCTTCACTGGAACTAAGGAGCCAAGCCCAACCCCTGATAAACAACCCCACACCATAATCCACCAAACTTTACACTTGGCACAATGTAGTCAGGCAAGTACCGTTCTCCTGGCAACCGCCAAACCCAGACACGTCCATTGGATTGCCAGACAGAGAAGCGTGATTGGTCACTCCAGAGAACACGTCTCCATTTCTCTAGAGTTCAGTGGCGGCTTGCTTTACACCACGGCATCCGACGCTTTGCATTGCACTTGGTGATGTAAGGCGTATTTCACAGGTGGCAACCTATCACGGTACCACACTTGAATTTACTGAGCTCCTGAGAGCGACCCATTCTTTCACAAATGTTTGTAGAAGCGTCTGCATGCCGAGGTGCTTGATTTTATACACCTGTGGCCATGGAGGTGATTGGAACACCTGAATCCAATGATTTGGAGGGGTGTCCCAATACTTTTGGCAATATAGTGTATTTGTTAACCACTGAAGACAATGATGATTCACCAATGTATTCACTTAATAGCAGATTACTATGAATGGACATGTTTAGAAACAGGGATCCATTTATATGCAAAGAAACCGCTGTAGCAACAGGGAGCAAGAAAGTTTTGTGTACTTAACAAAGCCTTCTCCTAGAGTAAATGGTTAGGGGTGGGGGGGTGACAACAGCGATGTGATACCAAGCATCAAAGAGTGCCTGGCTTTTTCTGCATGATAAAGTCAGGGCATGGCACGAGTAGGTTCTCTTTTTTTTCCCACTTATCACAGGTTGCTTCCAATAGCAATTTTTTTAACTAAGCTTACCTCGCAGTGCTACAAAGCTTCATCATTTTTTTTGCAAAATTTCAACAAATGCAATAA